GCCGGGTGAGCTCGGGAGCGGGACTGACCTCATGCGGGTATCGGCCTCTGGGGTTTGGGGACCCGTAGGGCATCTCGGGCAGAGCCAGCTCTGATGCTGGTGAATTCCTGCATCCCGCCCTTGGGAGCTGCTTTGGTCCCTGAGGAAAACGGGGAGGCTCTTACCACGCAATCTGCTGCTGCCGAGCGTGCCCAGCTTTGCGGGTGCACGTGTGGGTACTTCTGGCCAGGAAACCGGGGAGGAATCCAGGAGCCTGCTACAGAAGAGGACAGCTGCAGGAAGGCTTTGAAGACAAGGCTTTCCAGATGGATTTGCACAGCTGCTCATTCGCTATGTGTTAGACACACACATAAGAGCTGGAAAATCTCCCTGCTGGAGCGTTCTTCCCACCTGCGGAGCCTCACGCCCTGCAGTGTGAATCCCTTTGTAGAGCCTGGGTGCTGGGATCCCTCCTTATGTCCTGGAGGGAGCATGGAGCGGGGTGTCCAGAGGAGCAATAACAGAGCTTTCTGCCCTCCCAGCGCCCCCAGCGTGACCGTCTTGGCCCTCATGTCCCCCGTTGTGCTGGTCCCGAGCATCATTGCTGGCCTCAGGCTGAGAAGAGCATCGCGAGGAAGGAGCAATGGTAAAAGCACAGGGGTGGCCGTGGGGTCCCCAGGCCATGTCCCCCAGGCCCAGGCCCACCTTCCTGAGCAGGACACTGCCCAGCCCTTCCTCTTCCTCCCGGGAGGGCTCGCGTGGCCGCCTGGCTTCAAGGTTCTCCCATGTGGGGCTGTTGCTGGCCACGCAGCCCGTGGCCAGCAAGGCCAGGCCAGCTGGAAGGGAGCAGCCGCGGGCACCCCCAGAAACGTCCCTTTCAGGCAAGGTCTGAGCCATTTCCCTCTGCAATTCCCCCAGGTGCCAAGGACGCGGGGAGGACGGGGCACAAGGACCGCCGGGTACGGCGGGACGGAGCGGCTACTCGCCCAAACCTCTACGCCAACGTCGCACCGGAGCCCGGCTCGTCCCAGGGGGACTATGAGAACAGCCCCACTGCGTGCCAGGTACAGGGGGCTCCGCGGGAGGGGACACGTGGGGCTGCTCGGGGGTCACCGTCCTGCTGCCACCCCTGCTCTGCACACACCGTTCAGGCCCTTGGCAAGCAAACCCTGCAGCGATGGACGTCACCGAGACGCAGGGCTGCGCGGGGCAGCAGCAGCTTCCCTTTCTCTCACGTTTTAGGACCTAGCAAAGCGATGCGACGTGTCCCCCTCCAGCAGGAACAGCTCTGCTGCGGATGCGCAGCCCATCTACGCGAACGTGTCCCCGGCCGGGCCGCGCTCCGGCCCGCGCTGCCATAAAGCGCCGCGGCCTGGAAGAGGCGTCCGCTAAACCCCGCTCCAGGGCTGCTGCCCCTGCCCGGCCTCGGGGGTGACGTCCCTGCTGCTGGGGACCCCTTGGAGAGGAGCCTGCAGGGGCTCCCAGCCCATCCTTCCCGCCCAGGTTTCGTCAACACCCAGGACAGCCCGGGGACACGGGTTTGGGGATGGCTCTGAGGCCCCGTTTAATAAAGTGGTCAGGAGCAGCACAAGGAGAAGTGTCCTGAGAAGTCCCTCTGATCCCTGCTGCTGAGGGGGTGCCCACGCTGGTTCCCCACTAAAGCAGGATAAGTTACCAAAATCTGCCTGTTTTGGGGCCAGGGGACCCCTTTTGGTCCAGACTGCGGGTTTGGGGAGCCCCTCATTTAGGGAGCGGGTCCCAGGAGGGTCACAGGGGATGGCTCCTGTTCACACGTGTGACAGCCCCAAGCCATGGAGAGCAGCATCCCACACATACCCTGAGTGCATCTGGTCTCTGCAGGACCTCGTGTGTAGGAGTTTCACAGTCCAGCGCCTTATTCAAACTCACTGCTTCCCCACCCTGTTGTGAGGTCGGCAGATGAGAGCAGTTCCCTATCTGGGGCGTTTTTTGAAGCATTCCCAGATCAGGGGTTAAAAGCCCAGGCTCCAAACTGTGGTGGCCAGGGCAGACCCGGCGCCCAGGCAGCCCCAGCCCTGCCCAGCACCGGGTCCCCCAGGCCGCAGCTCCTGCTGCTTTGCTTTCACCGAGGGCCTCCCTGCCTTTCCCGGCTCTTGCATCACCTTTGCGGACACTGGACGGCTCGGGGGAAAGTCCCGGTCTGCTCCCCTCCCTGGGCAGATCCTCTCGTCAACACAAGCGTAATTGGATGGTGCAAAAGAAACAGCGGGGAAATAAACAGCAGCTGTGGAAAGAGGAAGAAACCCAGTGCGGACGCAGGGATTGGACCCCCAAGGGGTTCTCAGTGCAATCCTGGCTCTGTAAGCTGAAAAAATCCCTTCCCTTTGGAGCTGTTTCTCTCCAGGTTGGTGCACGGCCTCCTCGTGCTGTGCATCCGCAGGGCCTGCGTTTCTGCAGCCCTCGCTGCTCCCAAGAGCGCCGAGCAGCCGCCTTGGTGCAAGGGCTTCCCAGCCACGCTCGCTGCAAAGAGCATCTAGAGGCTTCTTGGCC